TTCCACAAACAAAACCCTAAAACTACAAAGGCAGAAATAGATCGAAAAAACCACCAAACCCCCCGTGAAAATAATCCAAAGAACTGAAAATTAGCGGAAACCCTAAAAGCTCTTAGCAGGCAAAAGGAATAGACAATTCGCAAAGATAAGAGATGAATCAGCAGAGAAAAGATGGACAAAAAATAACCCTAGAGACTGAGAGGGGGAGAAACATGCAGATCTGGGACTGAAGCCTGTTATTTATAGAGTTAGAATTAAAAACCCTAAAAGTAATCGCAAAATAAAAGGGTGATGTTTAGGTGCCACGTGTACGGATAGGATTAAGTCTTTCGGTTCATTCCAAGAGAAGCGTTTAGGGCATCAAAGACAGGAAGGTCAGCTGGGCTTAAGACATTGGTGATTGCATGAGCTGACAGAGTATTGCGGGTTATGTTCCTCATTGTTCATCAGGTCAAATCAGGACCTTACATCAACTCCATGATCGGTCAAATCTTCTAGCTCCCAACTATAGTCTATAGATCTCAACGACCCCAGCTTGTCATACACGTCAAGACCATGACCCAACTTAATGTTTGGGTTCCACCGTTTCCTTCATTTTTCCTCTTTGGGAGAAAAGCGAAGATTTTTTTTTTTTATAGATGGAGAAAAGCGGAGATGGATCATGGAAACTTGCTAATTAAAGATTTCTTTAACCTGGTGGGCCAAGATCAAATGGCCCACAAGTCAGCCAACGGGTCCCACAAGTAACAGCAAAGGCCCCCCTCAGCCCCTCTACAAGAACCAGTCTGACATGTAGGACACACGTGGACACAGCTGACTTGGAGTATCGTAATTGGTCCTATAGCTAGACTTTCCTACTTTCTTACGCTACTTTTCAGCTCAGCGGATAGAGAAAAATAACCGCTTTTAACTGTCAGGGTCTCCAGGAACACAAATGAAAGAAGAAAAGAAAAGAATAAAACTCATTACAGAATTCAAAGTATTTCACGACCCCACAAATTCTTTCCCCAAATTTACAGACTTGAAAAGCATGAAAGCAGATCCAATTTGCTTCAGACAAAGGATCTCTTCACAGTGATGAGTTCCTTTCTAGCCTCAATCTTTCTCTCCAATCCTAAGGAATGTGCCTTCTCCAATTCCCTCACCCTGCCACTCTGGCCCCATTGCCAACAAGAAAACTCTTAATTCTGATCACTTAACTTGTAGAAACTGAAAGCAAACTACTGTAATAACTTTAATCTAATTGAAAATTCCATCAAATCAAGCTAAACCCATCTCTATAAATTGCCCAAATTCTAGGCTTGTCCAACCATCACTGTCTCAGAACTCTTCCCAGAATCCAGACCTTTCTCACCCAGCTTCTGTCCTCCTCCTATCTGGTGCAATGGCTTCTGGGTCAGGGATCAGACGATCAGAATCCATTGCTGACAGCATGCCTGAGGCCTTGAGACAAAGCCGGTACTACATGAAGAGATGCTTCACAACGTATGTCAAGATTTCCTGATTCATTGTCCTCTGCCTTTTTATAATATTTAGTGGAAGATTTTGGTTCTAATTCTTTGTATCTGAAAACAGGTATGTCTCCAAGGGAAGGAGGTTGATTAAGCGCCAACAGTTACGGGATGAATTGGAGAACACAATAGAAGACAAGCTTGAAAGAGCCAAAGTCTCAGAAGGCTTGCTTGGTTACATCTTGTCTTCCACTCAGGTGTAAATTTGTCTCTGTTCTCTTTTCATTCTTTCATGGTTGAAGGTCACTTATATCCAAAGAATTTTCTAAAAATTACAGGAGGCAGCTGTTGTTCCACCTTATGTGACATTTGCAGTAAGGCCCAATCCTGGATTCTGGGAATTTATTAAGGTGAACGCTGATGATTTAGCAGTAGATGGAATTACTGCTGCAGAGTACTTGAAATTTAAAGAAACAGTATTTGATGAAAAATGGTAAGTCTCCTTAGTATATTAGTGTTTTGAAATTTATTCACCATCTTACCTCACCTGAGGGATCAGCAAGTCAGCTCGAAGAGGCTGATTGCTAGCTTTGAACATTGCAGCCCCTTATACACGTGAATTATTTTTCCAAAACTGACCTAGACAATTTACTGTATTACCTGCATTTTCATCCAAATGCCCAATATTTAAAGTGAACTAGCCTTAAGCCCTTAAGTCAGTAATTTCTTCCAAATCATATCTTCACCATCTCTTCTTAAAAGTATTGCCTACTCGTTAACTTCAAAACCCAATTTCATTTACTGTCTTTAGGGGTTAAATAATAACATCAATAAACATGCAGGGCAACTGATGAAAATGCATTGGAAGTGGATTTTGGCGCATTTGATTTCTCCATGCCACAGATGAGTTTATCTTCTTCAATTGGGAATGGAGTTAGCTTTGTCTCGAAGTTCATGACATCCAAGCTAAGAGGGCATGCTGAGAGTGCAGAGCCTTTGGTGGACTACTTAATTTCTCTTAATCATCAGGGAGAAGTATGGAAAGAAGATATTCTTACAAAGAACAAATAGTTAATTCTCATAAAAAAGTATTGCAAAAAGTAATCAATTACACCTTTTTTTATTCCAAATTTTGCAGAATCTTATGATCAATGAGACCCTCAACACAGTTGAAAAGCTTCAAACAGCATTGATCTTAGCCGATGAATTCCTCTCATCACATGCCGAACATGTGCCATATCAGAGGAGGTATACTATACTTATCACACTTATTCTATACTGGTGAGCATCAACTAGTAGACCTTAAAACTTGGTTTTTGTTTATGCTGGACTTTTTGAATTCCTTAGACTTGCTGACTGGGGCTTCGAGAAAGGATGGGGTGATAATGTAGAAACTATAAAAGATACAATGAGATCACTCTCGGAGGTCCTCCAAGCACCAGACCCACTGAACATGGAGAAGTTTTTTAGTAGGCTTCCTGCAATTTTTAATGTCGTAATCTTCTCTCCCCATGGCTACTTTGGCCAAGCCGATGTCCTTGGCTTACCAGATACTGGTGGACAGGTACAACATCAACCAATAATATAAATGAGCTTTCATTCCATTGTCAATGAATGAGGTTAAGGCCTCTGTTATTTTAAACAGGTGGTTTACATTTTAGATCAAGTAAGGGCCTTGGAGGAGGAATTGCTCCTTAGAATTAAGAAGCAAGGTCTAAATATCAAGCCTCAGATTCTTGTGGTAAGTTAGAATCACTAAAGAATGATATCAAGCAGTACATTATGTAGACAATAGAATTTATACTTATTGCTTCCTATACAGGTTACAAGACTTATACCAGATGCGCGAGGAACAAAATGCAACCAGGAGTTGGAACCAATCCTTGACACAAAGCACTCCCACATCCTTCGTGTCCCTTTTAGAACAGAAAAAGGTGTCCTACGCCAGTGGGTTTCTCGTTTTGATATTTACCCCTACCTTGAGAGATTTGCTCAGGTGAGTATCCAATTGAATTACAAACAACAATCTTAGCTTAAACTTCTTTTGTTTGTAGTTCAAATCTAATTCTTTAACCATCCTATATCTCTTGAATTCTTTAGGATGCCACTGCCAAGATCCTTGAGCACATGGAAGGGAAACCAGACCTCATCATTGGTAACTACACTGATGGAAACTTGGTGGCGTCACTAATAGCAAGCAAACTTGGGATAACTCAGGTGTGAGAATTGATCAGTCCTAAGAAAATTGCTAGATTATTGTATTAACAATTACTGATTTGTTGATCTCAAAAATTAGGGAACTATTGCACATGCTCTAGAGAAGACAAAGTATGAAGATTCAGACATCAAGTGGAAAGAACTGGATGCGAAATATCACTTCTCATGTCAGTTTACTGCTGACATGATTTCCATGAATAGTACTGATTTCATCATCACAAGTACATATCAAGAAATTGCAGGAAGGTTAGATGCTAAACCACATTTCAGATTGCCTCATTGAGTGTCTAAAATTGGTAGATAATCTATCAGGGATACAGATAGTATATAGATTAGAAGTTTGTGCTGTTATGCGACCACTGTTTTTTGCAAGTTACCTGTCAGAATCAACTTTGTCAGACTTCAGTGAAATCTAAATCAATTCCTAGAGAAATGCTGTCCACAATAACTAATTTCAGATGATTTTTTCTTTACAGCAAAGACAGGCCAGGACAGTATGAAAGCCATGCTGCATTTACGCTACCAGGGCTTTGCCGAATTGACTCGGGCATAAATGTCTTTGATCCCAAATTCAACATTGCTGCCCCTGGGGCTGATCAATCTGTGTACTTCCCCTTCACACAAAAACAAAAGCGGCTGACCACATTTTATCCTGCAATTGAAGAACTACTCTACAGTAAAGAAGATAATGATGAGCACATGTGAGTCTCTTGATTAGAATTCATTTACCTCTAACATATGTAAACTGGTAGGAAATACTGTGACATCAAAATATGGCATGCCATGTCTAGTGTGATTTGGACATACTGCAGTAAAGTATGACATTCTGCATATGTTAACTAACCATGCATAATTTAATTGAAAATTTAAAATCTGAGTCATTTGTTCATTATACTAAAGAAAAAAAACTGATACTATATTAGGAAGTTCTAACTTCTAACATATGAACCATTCCTGGAATAGTGGATTTTTAGAGGACAGGACAAAGCCCATCATCTTCTCAATGGCAAGGCTCGATATCGTGAAGAACATTACAGGATTAACCGAGTGGTATGGGAAGAACAAGAGGCTGAGGAACTTGGTTAATTTGGTTGTTGTGGCTGGATTCTTTGACCCATCCAAATCAAAAGACAGAGAAGAAATTGCTGAAATAAAAAAGATGCATAGTCTCATTGACAAGTACCAACTCCAGGGTCAGATCAGATGGATAGCAGCTCAGACTGATCGATTCCGGAATGCAGAACTGTACCGCCATATTGCTGATACAAAGGGAGCTTTTGTACAGCCTGCCTTGTATGAGGCATTTGGTCTTACAGTTATTGAGGCAATGAACTGTGGACTACCCACCTTTGCAACCAATCAAGGAGGCCCAGCAGAAATCATTGTTGATGGGGTTTCAGGGTTCCACATTGATCCTAACAATGGAGATGAATCAAGCAATAAGATTGCCGATTTCTTTGAGAAGTGCAAGAACAATGATGAACACTGGACCAAGATATCCACAGCAGGTCTCCAACGCATATATGAATGGTAATTAAAAATGACACACTTTCCAATTTAATATGATGCAGAACCAAAAACTCACTTAAAATACAGATTGATTGTTAACAAGCACTATTTATACCTTATTTTCTCCTTTGTTCTCTAATATTTCGTATTTTCTAATGGATTTTTTTGCAGCTACACATGGAAGATTTATGCAAACAAATTGTTGAACATGGGATCCATTTACAGCTTCTGGAGACAGCTGAACAAGGACCAGAAACAAGCCAAACAAAGATACCTTCAAATGTTCTACAATCTCCAATTTAGAAACTTGGTGAGTTGGTTTACTTATATTGACTGAATAAACAAAGTAATTCTGATAACTGCTTGTTTTTTTTCCATGTTGATATCATTGCAGGCAAAGAATGTACCAATAGCAAGTGATGAACCCCAACCACCAGCTTCAAAGCTAAAATCACAGACAACAAAAAGGCATGTTAACTTGTATAGAACCTGCTAGTTAAATTTTTTCTCTCCACCTTTAAATTAGTCTGTGGTTGAATTCTAGAAAGCTTTCCTTCTTGTCTCATTTCTTTTATAAATTTCTGTACTAACTATTTACACGGTTGTTTATTCCTTTGTCCATGAAACCAGACGCACATCTTCTCGACTACAGAGGTAACTGCATTCCCGGTTAACTCAACCCTACATTTCTTCATTCTACTTTCCCTATGGTAATCACTTATTTGAACAATTTAACCTATTTCTAGGATCTTCGGTTAAACCCTGAATCACAGGAATGAAGGTACAGAGATAGATAATAAAGAGACAGAGATCAAGCAGGAGTCAGAAAGTTCAGAGACCAAGTATGAAGATTCAAAGATCAAAAACAAAGATACAGAAGACAAGCATCTTGAGTCACCAAGTTCAGAAGCTGGGAATGAAGAGGATAAAATCAGTAGGGTTGGGTCCTCAAGTTCAGAAACGGAGTTTGAAGAGGATGAAAACAAGCAGGTTGGGTCCCCAAGTGGCAATCAAGTTTGTCTCAACTGGCGTTGGAAGTGCTTCCTTTTTCTCTGTGTTTTCATCTCTTACATTTTAATAAGGTTGTATCATTTGTTTGCTTAATAACAACATAGTGATCTGATGAAGATCAAATCTATGTTTTAATGGGTGTCGTGGTCTGGATTTATAATAAAGGGTGTTGTATCATCCCAAATAAAAAGCAATTTGAATTTTATTTTCCATATGAATATCTCCAGTGTGAATTTTCTGTACTGATAAAGTATAAAATTGTGAATTGTCTGGAAGGAATAGTTTTGTTGAGATTGCACCAAAAAGATGGCCAAACCAAGCCTGTAAACAGGTTGTATTGAATCCAAAGGGGGATAATCTGAACCTACAGATCCAAATTTGAACTCATATCAAACAGATATGTAAAGCATAGATTTGAGTACATTTTATTTAATCTATCCGGTTCAACTAAAATATCATCAAATTGGACCAAGAAATATCTGAATCCAATCCAATTACTAAACAGATCAGATTCTCATATTAGATTCAACCTGATCATGGCGAAACGAATATCTGAATCTGATTTAAATGAACAGAATTGAATTCGGATCCTAACCATTTGCAGAAGCCAAGCCATCAAATCATTGATCCAATCTTAAAGAGGAACTTGAAGAGAATGTAAATAATTGAAGATAAACCTGTCCAATCATAAGCTAGTTATTTATAGGATTATAAGTGCAATTTGAGCTGCCAGGCCCCCAGGCCCCATAATACTGATGCCTCGTTCTTTGCACATTGGGCCTAGCATCCAGGTTGGCTCAGTTTGTATGCAATGCGAATTTCATTTGCACTGGTGTAAATGCTTGGAAGTACAGATAGGATGGTGTGATCTCCTGTTAGAGAATAAAAAACTATTCAGAGACCTCACCTAACAGCATAAGCTTTTAGGTTGAATGGTTCCTTGAGATGGTATAAGAGACTGTTTGACCTAGTGGTCCAGTGTTCGGTCCTTGTCACCCTCATTATAATTAATGAAATTTCAGCACATGGTATGGGTGGGCCTGTGCTTGTCCACACTTCAAACCCAATGGGCTTTCGCATGAGGGGGCATGTTAGAGAATAAAAACCTATTCAGGGACCTCACCTAACAGCTTAATCTTTTAGGTTGAATGGTTCTTTGAGATCTCAATGCACAGAGAGAATTGAAGTAGGAACAAGATGGTGCATATTTTGTATGAGTTTTTGAGACAGAATTTGCACTGCTAATAAATGCAAATGAGACTTCAAAAAGTACAAATTCCATACGAGGTAAAAGTGCAAATCGTGATTACAACCAAATGGATGCAAAACTGAGACAGGTAAATAACTTATATCTGGTTCAGATTTACACTGCAAACAAATAGAGCCTCGTGATTATATAAACTAATGAGACAAATTATTGTAAAACTTAAAATTTGAATCCAAGAGTGATCACTCTATTTTTCAAAGCTGGTATACACTTGTCAGCTCAACCTACCAAGCTACGGTTAATTAAAAAAGCTCAATCCTTTGGACTATATATTTTCCAGAGCCGAGTTATTCATAAACTACTTAAAAGATTGTGAATTTTTGTCAACTATTCATTGTCCCACATTTTTAAATTCTTCTGGTTTCTTTTCTACTTTTTGAATAGCAACACAAGAGTTCTAAATGTTTTTTTGTGGTGCGAATTTTATTTAAGCAGCTGTAAATCTATGAGAGTACAAATAGAGGCCAGGTGTAAATTCTGGTTTATTTTTGCTTCAGTTGTGCCTTTATTTATTTGTGAAAAGTAAAATTGAAGGTAAAATGATGTGATGTGATCCTCGTCTTATATGAAAGAGAATGGAGATTGGAGATGGAATATTTATTGGGTGAGTAAGGTAAGAAGCAAGATGATGTGATCTCTACTTTGTATGAGAAAGAATTGATATAGGAGGAAGATAATGCAAATTGGCATGCATCAGTTTCTGTGATGCAAAATTTACATTACTAGTGAATGCAAAGGAGACAAACATTAAGTTCAAAATTAGTATCAAGAGTTCAAACCATGGTTGTAAAGAAGCAAATGCAAAACTGAACTGAGGTGCAAAATTTATGTCTAGTTCAAACAAACAACGCCTAAAGTTCATGAATTTTTCCACTAAATGAACTTGCCCATTGCTAGTAAATCTATGTGGTGAAAAAGGTGGGAAGCGGAAGAGGTTTAAATTTGAAGTAATGTGGACTAGACATGAAGACTATAATGATGTAGTTGGCAAGGGGTGGAATCAACAAGCAGCTCGCAATGTTTGTTCTGCAGTAGAACATGTGTGTTACAAAATAAAAAGAATCCGATCAGTGCTGAGCAGTGTTTTAAAAGCGCAAGGCACAAAAAAGGCACAGGGGTCAATTTGCGCCTGAGGCGCAAGGCGAGGCACACGCCTTTTTTATGCAAGGCGCAAAAATAAAAAAAAATGTCAAAATAATCAAAAAATTGCCAAAAAAATCAAAAAATATTAAACATAATCTTAATAAAAAATATAAACTAAAATTTTAAAATAATGTTTTAAAAAACCTATTATCTAAAATTAAAATACATAAACATAAGATGTAAAGCATATTCGAATGAGAATTTAAAAATAAAATCAAGCATATAAAACATTTTCAAGCATGTAAAACCTCTAATTTCTTTTTTCACTCAATTGCAGTACTTCGCATAGCTAATGTAATGTAAAACATATTAAATTCCTAATTCTACGAGCCGGCTTTGTGCCACACCCCTCGAGGCAAGCCCAAACAAGTCCACATTAGGTCTTAAATTCTTAGTTTTCACACAAAAAATAATGATTTTATAGTTTTATTTCATTACCCCCAATGTTGTTCATTCATTCATCCTAATAAAATGTCTTCTTAAAAAGCAAATAAAACTATAAAATCATTATTTTTTGTGTGAAAACTAAGAATTTAAGACCTAACGTGGACTTGTTTGGGCTTGCCTCGAGGGGTGTGCACAGGGGTCCGGGGGCAAAGCCCCAGGCCCAGTTGTTATGTTAAAAAAAAGCAAAAAAGCACCAAATTTTCAAAAGGCGCATGCTTGGGCTGAGGCGCAAGGCGCATCAGGCGCACCAGGCGTGCATCTTTTGAAAGGACTGTGCCTAGGACCTAGGCAAGGTGCATACCCTGAATTGTGCCTCACCTGTGCGCCTAGGCGCGCCTCAGGCACACCTTTTAAATCACTGGTGCTGAGTAGGTGGAACAAGACAATGTTTGGCAATGTTTCACACAATTACACAATTTAAGAAGGAAGTGGTTGAGTTACAATAAATGCATCCAAGTGAGGAGGCTCTACAGAAAGAGAAAGAGCTCACAGTGCAAATGGATCAATTGTTGGAACAAGAGGAATTAATTTGGAAATAGAAATCAAGGGAAGTGTGGTTGAGAGAAGGAGATCATAATATAAAGTTTTTCCATCTTTCTATAATAGTGAATAGAAGAAAATTGACTATAGAGCACTTAAAAAATGAAGATGGGGGTGGATAGAGGATGTAAAGGAAATCCAAGAGTTGCTTGTGAAGTATTTTTCAGAAATGTTCTCTTCTTCACAACTTGTTATGTCTCCTACAATTAGAGAACTACTACAACCAATTATTTCTGTTGAAGATAATGAGGCATTGACTAGAGTCCCTTCACTAGAGGAGATACGTAACACTACATACCAAATTAGAGAAAGCATCCAGGCTTGATGGTATGTCTACAACTTTTTTCCATAAATCTTGGTCTATAGGTCATGATGTTTATAGAACTTTTTCAAAGATTTTGGCTTGCTAATAGAAAATGGTAATTGATAAAATAATTTCCCCATGGCAAGCTGCCTTTATAACTAACTGTCAAATCATAAATAATGTAATTGCAAGCCAATAAGTGATACATTACATGAAGAGGAAAAAAGGTAAAAACAGCATGTTTTCGTTAAAGGCTGACATGGCTAAGGCTTATGATAAAATGGAGTGGGGCTTTTTAATGGAGATGGAGTCTCAGTGGTTTGATGAGCGGAGGTGGCTAGTGCAAATGTGTATTTCCAGAATGTAGTTTGTAGTGCTTGTTAATGAAGAAGAACCTATTTGATTCACTCCTAGTCATGGACTGCGGCAAAGTGATCCTTTGTCACCTTTCTTATTCATCTTGGGTATGAATCCACTATCCTTGATGATACAAAAAAGGGTGGATCATGGGGAGTTACATGGAGTTCAGGTGAGGAGGGGTTTCCCTGTAGTGTCACATCTGCTATTTGCAAATGATTTGCTTTTTTTTTGGTGTTCAATAGGTTAATTTAAATTTCTATCTCCCTGAATTATGTCTACCTCATGAATTTAGTACCATTAGCCTATTGTAATCATCAAAGGAGCAGCAGATGTAATGGTTTACAAGCAGAAAAAAAAAACCCAATGGACAAAGCAGAACTGGATTGTCATTCAGGCTTAGCTATCTCTCTGTTAATTTTGCATTGAAAGTGTACCCGTGAAAACTACATCTCTTTGGGAGATTCTCAAAGAGGCTAGCAGGGTGGAGGAGAAATTACATCTCTTTGGAAGGAAGAATTACTCTAATAAAGAGAACCCAGGTTCAAAATATCGATACGCCCGATACGCCGGTAGGGGCGTATCGGGTGTTTCGATACTCATTTTTTACGTTTTTTTTTATTTTTTTTTTCAAAACTGGTTCAGGGGGAGCCAGTCTAGGACCCCTCCATCCCCTGAACCAGTCAGACCCCCGATACACCCACTGTAGGGGCGTATCGGAAGGGTCCCGGAACGATACGTATCGACCGATACGGGCCGATACGTAACGATACTTTGAACCTTAAAGTGAACTTTAACAAACCTACCAATTTACTTCGTCTCTACCTTCAAGATCCCCACTAGTGTGGCCAATAAACTGGAGGAATTAATGAGGAATTTCTTAAGGGAACCAAGGGATACAAAGAAAGATCACTTGGTGAAGTGGGAGGTGGTCTCTAGAAGTAGAGATAGTGGAGAGCTGGGTATAGAAAACATAAAGCTAAGGAATACAGCTTTGTTGGGGAAGTGGCTATGGAGACTACCTCTGGAACAGGACAACTTGTGGCACAAAGTAATAGTGAGTATACATGGATTGCCAGAAAACGGGTGGGGTGCTAGTCTTTGACCCTAGGGCATTCCAGTTATCTCCTTGGAAAGCTATCCATGGCATATTGCCCGTGTTTCTCCTGTATATCAGACTTGATACTTGTGCAGGGAATAAAGTTCGTTTCTAGAAAGATGTCTGGTTTGGGGATGTCTCCCTCATAGATGCCCGTCCATCTACTCTCTTTCATTGAATAAAGAAAAAAGCATTTCCTCGGCCTATCTAAATGATAACTCTTGAGATTTGGGGTTGAGGGAGTCTGAAATGGGAATGGTTGACAATCTCATTGCCCTTCTTAATACTATGTTCCTAGATAAGTCTTGCTTGGATAGCAGAATTTGGTCAACCTTTCCTTCTGGGTTTTTTACTAGTGCTTCTTTCTACACCGCTCTTCTTCAATCCTCTAACATGGCAGGATCCTTTCCAATGAAGGAGGTTTGGTGTAACCTTCTACCCCAAACTACTGCCTTTCACCCCGAGTGTGTAGCCTTTGCTTGACCTGTGGTGAGACAATTACACACTTACTTATATCTTGTCCTTTTGTGTCCTTTGTTTGGAATTGGTTTCTTCACTTTTTGGTTGCCCCTTCCTTTGGATGTAGTAAGACTCTTTGATCCAAACTTTTTTAGACCTCCAAAGAAGAAAGTAAGAGAAATGTGGAGAGCAACAACAGCAGCTGTATTGTGGTCAATCTAGGAAGAAAGAAGCAATAGGATCTTCCGTGGTTCTGAAAGATCTAAGGAGCAAATCATTGATTGCATAGCTACAAAGATCATACATTGGCTTAAAATTTCTCCTTTATTTAAAGACTATTCAGCCGATGACTTGTTTAGAGGATGGAACACTGTGGCAAACTCTTCTTCATTGAGGTGAAGCTGAACTTCAATGGAAGCTCTTTAGGCAACTCGGGTCCCTCTGGATGAGAGGAGCTTTTAGAGACAGGGAGGGCAGATTGTTTGCACTGTATTCTGGCTAAACAATGGGGCCTACACCAGAATGAGGTAGAAGAGGACTCCAAATTATTAATTGGGTGGATGCATTCACATAATTTGGGGGCTTGAGTACATCGACAACTCATGAGGGAAATAAATTGCTTAGCAAGGGAGGTTGGGGCTCTGTTCAGGTGGACAAGGAGGTCAGCTAATGGACTAGCCGACACCCTGGCAAAGCAAGGAACTTTTAGGGAGAACTTGTCTTGGGCTGTTCTGTAATTTGAAAGCATTCTTCCAGGGGTCAACACCCTTATCTAGGTGGTGACAGTGTATTATTTTAAATACTTTCTAATGAAAGTTACCGTTTCTAATTAAAAAAAAAAAACAGAAAGTGTATAAAGAAGGTTAAAGGTTAAGTCAGCCCCAGTATTTTCAATTTGTTGTTGACCCATCCATCCAGTGACATGGTCACAATCCCGGTTCAGGTCATCCTCTAACATGTTATGCTATAAAAAACCATTGACTGAGCCAACAACTTATAGACCTGGTCAGTTGAACTGTTAACCAATCTGACCTGTTTAATGGGCTACCATTTTTTCCTACTTTCCTTTAAAAGTTTTTACAATGATAGCATCATATGTTGATCCAATTCGGATGGTTGAACCACTGACCATTGACTTGGAGGGAAAAGCAGTTCAGCGTCCAGGCCAAGCTATAAATACTGGTTGGCCCTGTGACCAGTTATCCAGTAGGCACAGGAAGGATCAAAATAAATCTTTTCAGGGTTTGCAATTAGATGACTCAACTATAGAAGGCTCGAGGCTCAGGAAGAGCTCTATAGTGATAAGCACAGAATCTGAAGATGATATTTATAAGCATTATAGAGTTAAGGAGAAATGGTTGTGTTTCTATTGATAGTGTGAATTGAGAGGAAGAAATTTGTCACCCAAGAAAGTACCGAACTAGGTCACTATCAGCCGAGTCCACTGAAGAATCTGAGGAGGAAAATTGGAAGCAAGAGAAGTGAGGTTGGCACATCATCGGCTCAATATGGTGATGGAAATGGAATAACCATGGATGAAGTCCATCTAGTAAACAAAATGATAGATTTAAATTTGATTGGTACAGAAATCCTTATAGGTAGGAATGCAGAGAATGTTGATATAATCAATATTGGATGTTTATATCCAAGGACTTTGAAAGCTTATCACTTAACCACTGATAGCTGGGAAGACATTTTTTTCATTTCTTGTTTCAATATACAGGGTGATACATGCATATTTTTGTACATGGTTTTAGGCCAAGTTTGGAAATGCTTAAAAATATATGCTTATTCGGATAAGCACTTATTTTGGGTCGGGACTACAACAATAAGCACTTATTTGTGTTTGGAAATAAGCCCTGAGAAGCTCAAATTTTGGGCTTGTTTTTAAGTGCTTATTTTCTTTCTGGCCTATCTTGGCCTGCCATGTCATTTAAAAATACCTATACTACCCCTGTATAAAATAAGTGCTTTTTCACCAAACATACGTGCTCATTAACCATGTAGAGATTTCTGTATAATAGTAATACACCATACACTATTTATAAAAAAAACATTAGATTTTTGTAGAATAGAGATACATGTAATCTGGGGACAAGTGTCTCAAAAATACCATCAAAAAGATCAAGCAATACTTGAGGGAAAAAATTACCAACTACACGATACATACCATACCTTTAATTAGTATGAGCTCATTTGTTAAGGGAAGTTAACGAAAAAAGCATCCAATTAAAGTTAGACACAGGCATTGCTCCATAAGTTTAAAAACGTTTAGGAGCAAGAGCCCACATAACCTGGCAGGGTAGTAAAATTGCCTGCTTCTAGTTCGTTGTTTCTAAAATATACCCAACGGAGTGCACAACATCAAATTAAAAAGTAAAAGGTAAATGCTGATAAGAACATAAAATAAACAAAATCAGATAAAATTTTCTTCAAACCAAAATTGCAGAATTTCTTCCTTTGTAATGAACCAAATACAGATACCAATCAAAAAAGTTAAAAGAAATACAGATGGAAATAAAATCAGAACAACAGTACCTCTAAAACAAGCTAAGAGAGATCACATTTATCTCCTTCCAGCTATCATCAACAAAGGAGATATAATACCCTGTATCTCCTGCAATGACTGCTGTGTTCTTATCTCCTCCTCTACCGAGCTCTTGAGGTTTCTAATGTGGCCCTTCAAGACATCCTCAGCCATAATATCATCAGCTCTCAACTGAAGAACCTTCTTGCACAATGCCAGCAAGAAGCCCGAGTATCTTGGCATTGTTGAGTACCGTTGTAGAAACCGAAGGAGCAACTCAAGCTCCTCTCTATCCAAATTTGATACACATCCTAGCAGCTTCTTCCTAGCCACCAATTCCTCCATAACCGCCACCACACTCTGCGGACTATTCCCATTTAACGCAGAAACTAGAGCTTCCTTGTGCCTAAACTTCTTCAAGAGTTTATCGTGCTCTGCCAATTTCACCTTTGCCGGTCTCTTAATCAAGTAATCCCCTTTCGAGGGCTTTTCGTTCTGTCCTCTTTGAAAGTACCGAAAATATGTAGGCTTTAAGACCCGACTCTCAGGCTCCTCCAATGAACCGAAACCCAAAAATTTATCCATTCCTGGAATATCATTATCACCAGAACTTGGGTCTTTCTTCCTCTTCCCAACAAAAAGGGCACCATTGGAGGTACCAATAACTCTGGCAGAACAATCAGGGGAGAACCCCATCGACAGAAGTGGTGCGGGGTACCTCATTGAATGGACGAGCTTCAATGCCGARAARTCAAAAACCTTCATATACCCATCCAATGACACACTCAAAAGCCTGAATTGTTGAGACTGCTCACCACCATTCTTTCTGACCTTACCGACACAAAGCGAAGTCACCGTCTTATTGTGACTCTCCATGGTATAAACAAGCTTCCCACCTCCAATGGCATCCCATATCTTAACAGAATTCCCACCAGCAGTCGCAATTAAGCCACCAGATGGAAGAAAAATAATGTCTTCCACCGGTTTTCCATGATTAAGCTGCAAAACCGAGCTTAGAGAAGAAACGCGGACATCCCAAAGTCTAACTGTATGATCATACGACCCAGTCGCGAACATGTCCGAACTAGCAGGCGAAGCAAACCCACATCGGACGTAGTCCTTATGGCCTTGAAAGTTAATTAGTTCGGTCTCTGAAGCGACATCCCAGTACTTGACGAGAGCATCGTCGCCACCTGAGAACAGGTGGAGTTTATCCAGTCCTGGGTACCGAACGAGTCGAACCGAGCGAGAGTGGCCGCGCAGCTGACGCAGGGGAATCCGTTTCTTGAGATCGAAGACTTGGACGAGTCCAGACTCGCCTCCCGCGGTCAGGAGCTTTCCGTCGGAACGATAAGTAGCAGAGTAAGCGACATCGGTGAAATCGGAGATTTTCGCTTTGGGTTCAAAGGTTTGGGAATCGTAGATGGTTACGGAGGCAGAATAGGTAGCGGCGAAGTCGTGTGGGGGTTCCGGGGAGAAATCGATGGAGGTGATAGCCGAGATGAGGCCGGAAATTTGCTGAGTCTTGAATGATCTCCAGTATTTGGATTCAGGGGATGACGAGGGATTTTTTGGAGTAGATTTCAGCCGTGGTTTTACAGGGAAAGTCTTCCGCAGCTCACCGTCCGCCATTGGAGTTCGATGGCTTCTTTCGCCAACGCCGGCTGGTAGGGGTTTAGGGTTTAGAAAACAAACCCCATGACTTGGTAGTTGTTAGCGATGGTTACGACTTACAAGTGCCCTTAGCAGGACGCTTGTTAGCGATGGCTTTTTAAGGCTATGTTTGGTTTGAAGGAAAGGATAGGGAAAGGAAGGAAAAGACAAGAAATCCTATAGAAGGTTTGTAAAAGTTTTTTACCTTTTCTTTCTTTTCCCCACCTTTTCCTTCACGTAAGAGTTGAGAACCTGAAGGATTTGTATAACGCACCGGTATATATAATTGTTATATTTTAATTTTTTAAATAATTCATAATTATTTATATTCTATATACTATTTTTAATACAAAAATAAAAATAATTAATTTCGTTAGAATGGTTCATCAAATTGATGAAACTAACCAACCTGACCTAACTTGACTTAAATTGGTCAGTTTTTTAGTATTTTTCAGTCACTTTTGGTTTAATGATTTTGACCATTTGTAAACTGACCAAATTCAAGTCAACTTGATCATAGATATATATAAATATTTTATATTTTAAATATAATTTTTAATACAAAAAGTGGGAAAATTCTCATATTTCTTAGTCTAAAATAATTTATATTATAAATTTCAATTATTTATTTATTTTTTAATAATATTGTTGTAATTTTTAAATTTAAATCTCTTGAGTCAATTGACCAAATTGAAACAACCCAAGTTGGCCAATTTTTACTAATGGTTGGTCGATTTCAAGTAGACATATACATCGGTAAGCCCAGGCTAGGCATTTCCTCTTTATAAATAGAAAATGACAAGGCCTGAACCCAAGCCTAGCCCAACCATTAGGCCTAGATCTTGATCCCAAGTCCTAAGCTTGATCTACACAAATATTTTATATTATATTAATTATATACTATTAATAATATATTATATACTTTAAAATATTCTATATATTATAATATATAATACCTTTCACTACTAATTTTATTATTATACATTAGTTGGCCAAACAGCCTTTAACCGAACCAAAATGACCCATGAACACTCCTAATTTTAGCTAAATTAATAGTTTAGCCTCAAATAAATAGCAATAGTTTAATCTCCATTAATTATTAAGAATTTATATCGAAAATACACTATTATTGAAAATAAATTTATAATGAAAATATAACAAATAAATAATAAATATAAAATGAATACAATAAATATGAAAATACAATAAACACTAAAAATATATTAAATTAGTCAATAAATAGTGTAATATACAATAATAGTTTAATCTCTAACAAATATTAATCAATAAATTATAACAAAAAATATAATAAATCTAATAAGTATAATAAATTAAATTTAAAATAATATTTTAATCTCCAATGATTATTGAAAATTTTCTATTAAATAACAAAATAAAAATAGATTTATACATAATTGTTAAAAATATATTTATCACAAATACAATAAATAATTACTCAATTTTAATTATAGTATATAAAATATATAATAAATATAGATAAATATTGTAAATTTATTATTATTAAGTATTAGCTTTTGAAAGTTATTACATATTTTCCTTATTTAATCTATTTTTAATTAATATTCAGAATATGATTTAGTTATTAATTTTTATATTTAACATATTTAAAAATTAGTTATTTAAAATAGTATTTATTTTTTCAAATAATGACATTATTTATATTTTTAAAATATTAATTATTTATTGAATATAATAATCTTTAAAATTATAAATTATACTATTATCATATAATTTTGTTATTTTAACTATTTAATATTTAGTTATGTTAAATATATCGCTATTTAAAATATTTAGTTATTTAAATATTTAAATAATATGTAAAATAATTAAATTTTATTTATTCTAAAGTTATTATGTAATATTCAATATTATGTTGTATAATTATTTAGATATTTTTTATATTTTTTATTTAAGGTATTTAGTTATTGAAATATTTGAATAATATTTTTTAGTTTTAATTTTTTATTATGTTAATAATGTTTAAATAATTTTGTCATTTAAATTTTTAAAATATTATTTAGTTATTAAACTGAATAATCCATAAAAATATTATTTTTTAGTTTATAACAAATATTTTAAAGCTATTACATAATTTCATTATAATATTTAAATAATTCTTACATTTTTTAGTTCAAACTTTATTTAGATAGATATAGATCAAAAGTGGGAGAGGGTAAATATGACTTAGAGATAATTTAGGAGAGAAACTCTCTACGTAATTAGAAATAATTTTAGAGATAAATAGGAATTAGAAATAATATAGAGGAAGGTGGGGGATAGTGTTGCCACTTGGCTTAATGGGTGGGTTGGGAAATGAAAAATAGAGTCCTCGAAAGGGGTATTCAAAACTACCAATTAGAAACTCTACTTCACTAAAAAACCTTCATAAAATCTCCCTCTCTCTCTCTCTCCCACATGTTCCTATAACCTAAATCAATGTTTTAAAAATTGACTCAGAGGCCAAACCATTTCTGCCTCTGGGTCGTGGGTCACCGATTCGATTGGCTAGGTCGAACGGTTCAGGCTATGCCACATCATCATATATATGTATTAAGTATATATACTTATATGCATATGTATATGTGTATATATCTATACTACTTTAAAAAGCATGAATGGCATCAAGAATATTTATAGAATTTTATAAGGACAAAATTTATCCCTCTATATTTAAATTTATTGATAAAAAATAAGGCAAATAGGGTAATCGATTCTTGATATTAAATGAGTTGAAAAGAGGTAATTTAAAGATATTCAATGCATTCAATTCTCTCTCATTAAATCCAACATTTAAGTTATTAACTTGCGTTCATGTTCATTGAATCATATATTTAAGTCATTTTTGTTTCTCCTCATTATTAAGTTCTATTAATTAAATCCATACTTAATAAATAAATAATTTCAATAATATAAAGCTTATACTTTTAAAATCTACCTAACAAAAATAGTGTTTTCATCTAGGTTTGGTAAGAAATTAAATCATTTTGGGTCAAATGGATTATTCCATGTTGCCACAATTAAATAATAAAATTAAAAATAGATAAAATGAAAAAATAGAAATTAAAAAAAAAATTGAGAACATTTTTAACATACATATTAAACAATAATAAGTATGATAAATAAGAAATATTTTTATTAATGATGGGAATGAAATGTAAAATTTAGAACCAATTGGAAATAAAAATATTTTCCTATTCTCTCTCATTAAATCCTATATTTAAGATATATTTTTCTTATCATTAAATTCTTGTAATTAAATCTATAATATTAATTTTAATAGTATAAAAATAAATATTTTAAAAAATAATTTGAAAACAAAACCATTTTCTTCCCTCCCGGTGGTGGGCAAGTAATTCGATCATTTGAGGTCAAATGGATTAATAAATAATGTCATAATTAAATAATAAAAATTTAAATAAATAACTATGAAATGTAAGAAGTATTTTTGTTAATGATGAAAATTGATTGCGAAATTCAAAATCTACCTAGAAATGAAATGATGTCATAATCAAATAATAACTTTTTTAATAATAGAAAATACAAATAATCACAAAAATTAAAAAAAAAACGATAAAGAAAATTTTGGGCACATATCTAATGTTATATATTTATAAAAAATAAAATGTTAGGTACATATCTAATATTGTGCATATTAATTTTATCGATGATGGAAATGTAATACAGAATTTAATGTCAACTTAGAAATCAAACAATTTTTATTTTTAAATGGTGGGTTAGTGGTTTGAATCAAATGATACCATAGACAAACAAAAATTATGTGTGATAAGTAAAAAATATTTTATATAGTGTAAATGAAATATATAATTTAAAGAGAAAATTATAGTCAAAGTCAATTGTACATTTAAAATTAGGTTTTAGGTTGGTCCAGAAACCAACAAAACTCTAACAACCGGCTCTAATTTTCAAATTATAAAAACCCCTACCATGTCGTCGGAGGCTTATGTAGATGTTGCCAACATGGGATTCTTAGTCCATGTTGGACACAACAAAAAACCTATACCAAAAATAGGTTTTCAGTTTCTCTCCCACTCCCTCTGTCTCTCGATCACCTTCCCTTCTCTTTCACTTTCACGGTCATATTTTGATCTCCCGCTCTCGCTCCCTTTGTCTCTCCCACTCTCTCAGCTTTGGTTTGTAGCCAAATCAAAACTACTCTCTCTCTCTCTCTTGGTTTGTAGCCAAATCACTTTCCCTTCTCCCTTAATCTTTCTCATTCTTCTTCTTCACTCTCTCTCTCGGTCGATATCTCCTTCTCCCTCAATCTTTATCATTCTCCAATTGGTGTAAATTTCATAGCCAAGAGTTTATTGTGAATTTTTATCAAATTGGTGTAATGATTTTTGAACCATACTAAGGGAGAATAATAGAAATTAAGGGAGAAGGAGAGATCGACCAAGAAAGAGAATGAGAAAGATTGAGGGAGAACGATAGGTAGAGAGAATGAGAGAAATTGATATAGAAAACGTAAATACAGAAACCAAAAACCATTTTTATTTATTTTTAAATCACATAGTCGTTGAGTAGATAAAGATGACTGTGAGTGAGAGAGTGTAAGGGAGATTGTTTGAGAGAGAGAGAGAGAGAAAGTAAAACCTTTTTTATTTTCCAATCACCTAACATTAAAGGGCAATTTCAATATACGCTTTTTGTTGTGTCCAACATGGACTAAGAGTCCCATGTTGGCAACAATCACACAAGCCTCCGATGATACGGTGATTGTTGCCAACATCCCCAACTATGACCTAAATAATCTAATATCCTAAAATTTCTCCTAAACAACCTCCCCTACTATCCCCAACTATCTCCTAAGCTATCTCTAATTTAGTAGAGTTTCTCTCCTAAATTATCTCTATTTCTTATTTATCATCTCCCCCACTTTTTATCTACATCTATCTAAAGAAAGTTTGGATTAAAAAATTTAAGAATTATTTAAATATTCAACCAAAATTATATAATAACTTTAAAACATTTATTAAAAAACAAAAAATAATTATAATTAATTTAATAATATTCATATTATTAATAATTATATACTTTTACAAAATTTATCACAAAATTATGTACAAACAATACAAATAATG